TAAGTGCGCAAAGCGCCCTTATCAGAGTCCATAAGCCCATGTCTAAAATAGTTTGTATCCTAGAATAACTCATGCTCTAGAATTATCCACTATCTAGAATTATCTTGTATTAAAGAATATTTAGTGGCTGTTAGTAGATAGTTGGAAGATGCATTTATTCTGGTATGTAGAAAAGTTCATTGAGCACTATAAATAGAGGTGCTCCCTTGTCATATATAACAGGCGAATTAATGAAGTTCCAGCTTGGGTTTTTGATTCCTGACTGATTTTATCCAATTGTGTATTGATTTTGAGTGGAATTTAGCTGGTTTTGGTTGAAGTTCAGCTCAACCATTACAGTAAACCCTTGGGTAGGGTCTCTTATGGTGTTCGCCAGATTAGTTTTCAGACGAGATGGGTAAAACCCGATCCTATACATATCTTCTTGCATTGTTATTAAATTCAAACCAAATTGAGCAAAAAAAAAAGCAAGTAATTATCTAACGTGTAATCTAATAAATCCAAACTGAACCATGAGTTGAAGAAAGAGAGACAGAAATTTGCTCAAGCTCAACCCCTTTAACACTCCTTTGCAACCTGGGATATGTGTCTGGCAAACCTATTTCAATTCCCTTAGAACTTTTATTCAAAGGAAGAGTCATGGGCTTCAAGAATTGTCGGAATTTCGCCATTAACTTCAAGTAAATTCAGTATAACCATAAAAATTGCCGCCACCCCTGAGTAAAAGCCCATTTCTCCACTAATTTGCATGCACTTAAAATCCCACCCCCAACTATAAATAGCCCACACAAAAAAGAAAAAGAGATTAAATGGGGTTAGACACAAAGTTGTTAAGACGAGTTTATTGTAAGATTATCTGCTAATTAAGGACTATTGACGTCAAGAATCCTAGTATTGTGTGTCTATTCACATGTATATATATCTTTGAGTTTCTGGAAAAAGAAACAAGAATCCCCTTCGGCCTTTTGGGTTTGATGGATCGCGTAATGAGTATGGTGGATGGTGTGGGCATACGGTTATATATCAGTTACCCTACGAATAATACAAAAGAGTAATGTTATGCAAAGTTAAATGACTCGATTAATTTAACAAATGCTAGATAGTATCATTCAACATCCTTGTTTAAAATAAAACGTGATATGAAAAAATTGAATCAAATTGACAAGTTCAACGGTGAAAACCAAGAACCAATCTCATATCCAACCCAATCCAATCACAATATATTAACCAAAAATGAAAAACACAGGTAAATAACCCATTGAACCAGCCTTTTTAAACAAGAATCAAAAAACCATTCACGTTTTTACCACATATTAACATTTTTCTATAACAAAATACTTCAACTTAAATGATGGGCTCAACTGTACTTCAACAAAGTCATGATGCCTTTAAAAGAGAAGATTCGTCCACAATCATATTAATCTTCCGATGTGGGAATTGGAATAAAGCTGTAGCCTGTTACATTTTTAAATAAATCATTAATTGTTCACTTCATTCTCTCCATTATATAAATCATGGCCTCCCAAAACACTTGCAATTTCCATTTGAACAAAGTAAATTATTTTGAACATATTAATTGTTAGTTTTTGAAGTTTTAAAATAAATTATAGGATAATAAATCTATTTGATAAATATTTATTTATATTTATTTCGAGTTAGAAATACTAAAATTAAAAAATATATACTGTTGTTATAATATTTTATAGCTTTTGGAAGTACTTATTTATTTAATTTTGACATCCGGTTCGACCCGGGATTGATCCCGATTCAACCTTTTGACTTTTGACTGTTTTCCTTTTTTGGGTTGATATCCGAGTTGATTTTAAAACATTAGAAAAATGTGGCTTTTTCAGAGGACTTTTTTATTCCATGTGGACCGTCGAGAGAGTGTTTTTGCATTTATTTAGGGTTTTATATAAGGGATGGTGGCCGCCGAGCTTTCTACTTAGTATTACTATTGCCATCAAACTTAATTTATTTTACCATGGTCTTTGAAATTTAACAATGGAATCCCTAACCTTTGAATTCTAGTACTCGGAGTCCCAATGCTTCCAAATGTCTGCGTCTGATGTCCTATTGTGATAGAAAATATCCGATGATTGTGAAAATGTCAAAATTTGAATAAAATGATAGTTAATAAGAGGACATGAAAAAGAATTTTTTTTTTATGAAGTATAAAAGTTTTTTGATGAATAAACTTTGTAGTTTTATTGTTTTTCTATTGTTTAAGATTTGAATTTATGTTTGAATTAATGAAGGGGTGGTGGCCACGGATAGTGGCTGCAGGATCCTTGGTGGGTGGAATTGGTTTGGGGAACGAGTGGAGTGGTGTGGAGTGGCTTCAATTTATTTTTTTCACTCTTATTCTTTTTCCTTTAATTCTACTCTTTTATTTTAATTCAAATTTTTTAGATTATTTTTGCTTTGAATCAAGATAAGGTACAGTGATCATTATATTCAAATTCTCATATTTTAACAATCAAATTGGCTTTTTCAATTACAAAAGGACATGTGTAGATATTTGAAAGCTTTGGAGCTCCGAGTGCTAGTAATCAAGAGTTTGAGACCCATCGTCAAAAGTTGCAAAATTAGGAGGCCTTGTTATAAGAAACTAATTAAAGTTCGATGGCCATGGTGACATTACATGAAAAGTTTGGTGGCACGATGATTCTAAGTAAAATGTAAGGTGGCCATGGATGAAATTAAACCTTTTATTCAACATATTCTTTTGGAATTAATAATGATATTTCTCGTTGGTGATGATCAATATAATCTAGATAAGCTATTAAATTGAATATGTTTAAATGTCGCCGAGAAGAAAATTTCATGTTAGGTTTCACGAAACTTTATAAAAATTGAAGTTTTTTCTTATCATTGAAGTTAATAAGTCCACAATTTATCACTTTCTTAGACAGTACTAGATAGTAAGTCTATGGGTAATTGGGTAAATTTTATTTGAATGTGTTTGATTTTTTGATACCAAATAAATTCAGGCAATGATATTAAATCGGCTTATTGGATTATACTTTATAGGTCTCGGCTGATGAGTGAAGTGAAATGTCAACACCACAATTGAACAAACAATTCCTACAACATATTTTTGTCATTTGAAGTAACCTAATTACATTAGCGTTATTCATAGCTTGACCTATTACCTTGAAAAGCTTTTCGGTGGTAGCCTTATTATTTCCTATTGGGCTAACTATGTTCTAACCTAAAAGCCCACACTTGGTACCTTTATATACCTCGCCCTGTTACTGTTGAAGTAGTGTGAAAGTTGGAAAAGTCTACATGTACATAATATATGTACAT